TTTTTTTTTTTTGTTGTTCTCCTTTTCAACGATTATTTGCATCTTGGACTATATCACACAACCGTTGTCTTTTATTATATTATGCTTTCTTTTCATCTTGTCTACATACACTTTCTATTTCTATTTTTTTCTATAATATTTCTTAATGCCAGACATTAAATGTTCATCACGTCTTGATAGATGTTGGTGGATTGTGTAAACAACAGGGACAATGATGGAAAGTGTACGACTTCTCCGTTCTATCCCTGACAAGTCTAATAAATTGCATTTTATAAATAAATATATGCCAAACCTAATCATGTGTGATCAAGCTGCGTCATTGGAGTCTGCAGATCTGGATGTGATTACATATTTTACCTGATATTTCTGTGGTCCGACAGCTGCCATCCATATCCCCATGCTCACATCTTCTCCCTGTAACAAGACATCCACAACAGATTCCTCGCATTATATTCACGACTATCTGCCTCCATACACCCACAGTCTCTCTCTCTTGTCTTCTCTACCTGGTAGGCCTTCAGTTTATCTGCATTACTGGCGAGCCACTGGACCAGGTCACGAGAGACGACGTAGCCTGAGCCGCAGGCGAACGCCGGGTAGGCTGGACTAGCATACTCCAGCTCCTGCCACTTCCCAATGCGGTCCACTGCCCAGCTCTGCCTGAAACTGGGTCAGGACGGCAGATACATTATCATCACATCCTGTCTCCTTTTCACTTGACCCATCATCATTTTGACAGAAGCATTCCTGTTTCTTTCATCTCGACTTCAGCTGCACTGAAGTTAAGTTGCAAACAGCAGTGGGCTAAAATCAGCAGCAGAATATACGCTGTCAACAGCATCACACACCAAATTGTACTTACTTCCCCCACCAGAAATTGCTGCACTTGAGACCCTTATGGTCAATCTTCATTAATACTGAGTCCACGTCGATGTAACAATCATCATCCGTCTTCAGCAGCAGATTAAAGTCAGTGTTTCCAACAGACCTGCCAGAGAGGGAATTTGCAACCTTAATTAAAGCCCACCTTCTGATTTTTGGCAATATCCCAGAGAGGATTTACTTCAAATACCACTGAGAGTGAAGGGCAGGAGGTCTTGCAAATAAATAATATACCCCCTAAAGCTTAAGACCACTCTGTATACTGTATTTTGCTACCTGATGACTCACAACTGTACCTTTTCCCTGACTGAGTGATTGCAATCGTGATTCTAACAGCGAGACATTTTGAGGCAATGACACACTTTCATTTCAGGTTGCTGATTTCCTCAGAGGGCCAAGGCAATTTGGAGACAGAGAATCGAGTCATTAGCACTTGCCATACCATTTATAGAACTGAAGCAGTTTGGAAGGCACGTTCCTGTAGGTGTCTACCACGTCTACGAACACCATGTCGCCGTGCCTGAGGCTCTCCTGCTGCAAGGTGGCGTCCTCCTGCCTCAGCCCGGAGGAATGGTGCTCCATCCTGGCCGGGCGGCCCCGCAGGAGCCCCGACAGGCCGTCTGCATCTGACACAGGTGGTGGTGGGGGTGGTGGTGGTGGTGGGGGTGGGGGTGGGGAGGGGGGGCATAGGGAGACAAAACAGGATAAATTTTGGGGGGGGGGGGACAACTGGTGTCACATTCACTTTTGTTTGAATACATTAAGGCTCTTTTGAGAGATAATAACTTAAATCACTGGCTGGCAAAACAATATAATAAAACTGTAACATTTTACAGAACGGATCATTAGCTCTGTTTTCAGAGCTATTGAATGGTGAATTAAATTTTGTTTCCCCCAAAATGGCTACAAATCCATTCCCAGATAAACTCAAATGCAAACACATGCAGGTGCGATCAATAATGTAACACAACAGGGCAGAGAGGGGAAAAAGAAATGTTGCCTCCATTTGGCACGTATGCAAGAGCCCTGAGGCGAAAAAAGGAGCTAATCTCATAACCTGCCAGAGTGAACAATGCTTTTTTGAATTTTTACATAGGGACTCCTTTTACAACAGTTGGCTCGATTGATTTTGATCCAACTGTTTTCATAAAAAGCTCAGAATTAATTGTGTTGCTGGACCAACCATAGATAGTAAATGTGAAGCCTCCAGCCAAACCGGGAAATCCAAGTGCACTTCTATGAGGCAATATGCCCTCTGCGATCTGCAATTCAGGGACACAGCAAAAAAGTTTTTAATTTCCTTGCTTCACTTTATAACTTGAGAGAGAATATTCCTAATGCATTTATTTCTGACTGCTCATCAGTACGTACAGAGGAGATCTTGAGGACACCTCCTCCATCATTGAGCTGCACAGAGGAGGAGTTGACTGTGGTCAATCCAGCAGAGTCCAAATTCTCCCAAACCAGTGTCCCCTCGAAACCCTGAATAAAAAATCAGACGTTATATCGTACTGCTCTGTCCATGATTTAAACTGATCATAATACTGTATGCAGGGCCGCAGCTACCACTGAGAACACTGACATGTCCTCTGTATTGTCTCTTTGCATTTGTTGGTTTTAGCAACCTTGAGGTAGTTTTACATTCTACTGTTGAAAACTTACAATGTATTTGGGCTGATTCTAGTACATCACAATTTTATTCAAGATTAACTTAACACCTCCTGAAAATCCCCTTTTTGCTGTGGTTTAACGTCTCCCATTGCGGCAGCGATGTACAGCAGTACTGCAGGAACTTAAACTTACACAATGGTTATATCCTACAAATTATTAATTATGTAACGTAAAGTTGCATAATTGATGTGAAATTATGGAGGTTAGGTTTAAGCAAGTGAAGTTACTGAGGTTAGGTTTAGAAAATGAAACATTTCGAGGACGTACCTTGACTCAAACTTCAAGCAAAGTTCACACGGTTAAAAACGCGTCTCCTGAGAGAAAGTCCTATGTTTTGTGAAACATAGTTGCAGGTAAGACAAATCAAATTTCTGATGCTGGGTGTGGTCAGAGGTGAAATAAGCTCAAAAATTTCAACCAGCAAATCACTTCTTTGTAATCTGGTGTTAATTCATTCTTTATTAGCATTGTGGAAAAGGCTTTGAAATCCCATGCAGCATTTATTCTTTGTAGGGAAATATTGAATTAACTTCCTGGGACACTAAAATACTATGTGCAGTGATCTGAGTTGTTTTATATAATTTTCTCCCAAGATTAGTGAGTTTATGCAGGTTTTTTAAACATGGAAAAAAACATTAAAAAAGAGCGATAAACTGCTTTCCCATTGCCTGGTGACATGAGTTTGTTTTTCTGATTTTTTTTTTTTTT